TTTTTTTTTTTTTTAATAATAAATATAATTATTTATTTAATTTAATTCTATGTATTTTATTTTATTTTAATTTAATGTAAAAATGGAGTAAATATTGATGGAGAATTAAATTAAAAATAATTTAGAAAAAAAAGGTGAAAAATTGGGTTCAAATTGCAATTTAGAAAAAATTTGCCACGTCAGACGCCCGGTCAACAGCCCCGACAAAACAGGACGTGCCAAGTGGCGAGGCGCTAACGCGGGAGGCCACGTGAACGATCCACGTGCGCGCGATCGAACGGCTGAGGTCCGTTCCCTCGTGCACAGACGACCTGGATGCACTCCCTCCCAAGCGCAATCGAACGACCATATTAAAAGCGATCAGAGGGTCAAGAGTAAATAGCGATGGACGGTCCAAATTAGATCACGATAAACGGTACAGATTCACTCCCCATTTAATCGCGGTTGGACAGTCCAGATCAAACGTAATGGACGACCCAGATTAAAAACGGATGGATATAAAAAACTCTCATCTGCACCAAACCTAACCCTAGCCGCCAAAACCCCTCGCTGAAGAAGACGACCCAGCCGCCGGGGAGCCAACCGCCGCCACCCACCGTTGCACCGGAACCCTTTCCGATCGCTAAAAAAGATAAAAATATTTTTTTTGCACGAAATTCAATTTTAAGCTCACTTATGGCCAAATCAGAGTGAAAAGACCGGCCAATTGGCCGAAAAATACTGACGAAGCTCGGCAGCGCCGTCGTGGGGAATTTCACAAACTGCCTCTGATGAGGCCCTTCCCGATCCCCGTTTAGTGTAATTTTTTTACCGTTATGATTATCGTTTTCTTCTCAACAAGTTGACCTAAGTGAAACACCCAACCGCAACGTTAACCGGAGGAGCCGCCGCACCAGAGAGCCTAATTGCCGGTGAGTTTCGGTTTTTCGTATTTTTTCGGCCAACCGAGACCCTTTAACGTGTTTGCTCGTAGGAATCGATGTAAAATTGACTAAAAACGATCGACCCGAGGCGGATCGTCGCCGGAGCACGGTGGAGCCGCCATGTAGGATTTTTAAAATGGGCCAAGTGGGCCCTGTGACTGATTTTGGGTTTATTTGGAACATTTGTAGGTACTATAAGCGCGTTTCAGTTTTCGGAGAAAAATTTAAGGAACACAGGGACTGCCCGTGCGCGTAAACTGTTTAACTTTTCGGCATCAAATCGAGTAAGGATCCCTCACCCTATTTCCTATCATAGAATTGAAGTTCAAATAAGTAATAATACGATATTTTGTACAAATTAAATAGATGTGCATAATTAATTACGAATTCTAGTGGAGCCCGAATCAGAAACTGTTCTCTGTTGATTTATTTTACAGTCTAAAAGTATGATAGTATCTGATTTATCTGTTTTATGGTTTAAATGCATGTATTGCGGTCTTACTTGACTACGGTTTGGTTTGAGAATTGAGACATGGTTGCATTACCTGAGCGATATGTTTATTTGTTTATGCGATTA